TTTAACTTTGTTTTGTGAAAGTCAAGTTATCGTTTAGGAATTAGCTTTTCAGAGCGGCACTGTAAAAATATGTTAAGATTTAATAACTACACTGCAGAACTACTGACTATACTAAAGGAAAACTGATTTATTTGTTTTTATGATTACTTCCATTTAGTTTATCATACTTTGTAAATGCTGAACAGAATATATCATACATTAAATAAATAATATAGCATCAGTACCTCCAGGTATTGACAATTAGTAAAACTGAAAAATTTGAATGCTTCTATACTTTTTTGTTATCACTGTTTCAGTTTCTGCTTAGTGAAAAGCTGCTAAAGCTATCTAAATGGACACTCATTTATGGTGATTTTGTATAATCATTTAAATTCTTAGGACAGCTTCCACTTTAATATTTAGTCTGTGTATTGGTTATAATTCTCATATGGATAAGAATACAGCATAAAAGTAGAAAAATTAGATGCCTTAAAGAAAAGATCAAACTTAAAATGTTAATGGTAATGTGTATTGTTGGTATATGTAAAAGAGTAAGAAAGACAAAAAAAACACTTGATTTCAGTGATTTAGTTGTTTTCCAAATAATGTTTGTTGAAGGTTTTAATGTGTACATGTAGTTACTGTCCTTGTTAAATCAAATCAATGAGATAAAATACTTAATGAGATGTATAATATTATAAAAAATTGCTGGCTACATTGCTAATGACCTATATTTTCATTGTTCAAAAAGCTTTTTTTAACAATTGCTAGTAGTTATTTTATCTTTTTTTTATAATTTTTGCATTACATGTAAGATAGCACCAAAGAAAACTAATTTGATATTTATTTTTAGTCTTTATTCTCTTTAAAATAGTGTTAGATAAAAAAAAGTTTTCTTTGGGCACCATGTTAAAGTTTATGAAATGGGATTAACTGTAATCAAAATTGACAAACAAAAAATTATAAAGTACTGTGAATTTTTCTTGTTTGTCATTTTTAGAAACTTCTCACTAATGTGTACATGTAGTTACTGTCCTTGTTAAATCAAATCAATGAGATAAAATACTTAATGAGATGTATAATATTATAAAAAATTGCTGGCTACATTGCTAATGACCTATATTTTCATTGTTCAAAAAGCTTTTTTTAACAATTGCTAGTAGTTATTTTGAGCTTACCTTGGTGTTTATTTCCATTCAGGAAACCTATGGGTCTTTCCATTACACTTCTCTTCTTTATCTTTCTGACTATGATGTTGATTTCACTGGAGGAAGATTTATTTATGTGGATAAATCAGTTAACCTTACTCTTGAACCGAAGATGGGTGAGTTTAGTGGTTTCTTATCCCACATTTGTTTTAACACATTAGATATGTCAAGTGTAAATATTCTGTTCAGAACTTGCTTAATAAATGAGTTAACCCAAATATTAATAATCATGCCAAAAGTTGTTTTTTTATGGAATAAATCTTTTTATAATATATATATATATATATATATATATATATACTATAGATGTCTTGAATGTAAGAAAATTGTTGAAATTAATATTTGTGAGTAATTATACTGATCATCAGAAAAAGAAAACTTTATAGACAGGTAGTCTTACTAGTTGCAGTACTATGAAAGTGATTGGCTACGGTTGAAAAACCTTTTAAACCATGGCAATTTGGATATTCGTACATATTTTTTGTAATTACATTGACCAACAAATTACCAAAAAACTGAATCAGCAAACTCATGCTATCATAGTTTTAAGAAGCATGGGGAATTTTTTTTTTATGTATAGTCTTGGGTATTGAAAAATTGTTTCTAAATATATAGATTTTAATTGACTAGTTTTGCAAATGTAACTACTTTGGCTACTAGTCAGAAAAAATAATATTTCTTATCATATAAAAGAAAGAAAAGCACCTTTTTAAAGCTAAGAAAATCATAGACTGCACTTCAACTACAAAAAGAAAGTAAATTAATAAACCAAGAATACTGAGATTTGACCTAAAAAGATTTTAACCTTTAAAATCGTGTGGGTTAATTTCACATTTTACAATTAATTCTAAACTAACAATTTATGGAAAGTTTCCTGGTGTTATTAAGGTTTTCTATGCAATTTTAAATGTGTTCAAATTTATATTTGTGAATTGTAGTTAAACAAATTTATTATTATTATTTTTTAAGCTTGTGTATCAATCAGTTACAAATTTGTTTTGTTTATGACTTTTTAGGTAGGGTTGTGGCCTTTACTTCAGGATCAGAAAATCCTCACTATGTAGAGAGAGTAAACAGTGGCATAAGATATGCACTGACTGTGTCATTTACTTGCAACAAGAAGTATGCTATAGATGACCTTTCCACAAACAACTTGAACCAACAACATTCCTAAAACTGTGATGAACTGAATAATTTAGATAAAAGCTGTATATCAGTGTCTGTAAAATAGATTTATGATGTGTGAAATCTTTACTGGGTGTTCTAATTTGTTAACATTCATGTGTGTGTGTCCAACCATACATCAAATATACATTTTGAGTACTTTTGTAGATCACGAAATGTTTGGTAGTGTAGAGCACATTTTCCATTAATCAGTGGGTGAGAAAAACTTTATTCATCATAAGTTATTTATGCAGTTGGGCTTAAAAAGACTATAGTTGAAAACATAGAGATAACTGTAAATAGTAGGTACATCAAATGTATGCATAACGGTAGCAAAAAGTATTTCATGATTTTGAAATTGCCTGAAAACATTTTTAAATGCAAACATTGATGCAGTTTTCTAATGATTTATTAATCGTACACTGAATAAAAATAATATCTTAAAATATTGTTAGATAATGTTCTAGATTGTAAATTATCAGACTGGTGGTGTGGAATGTTTTTTAGGTCTGGTCATGTATGCTTAGTATGGCAGAATACTAGGGAGGGTCTGGGAGTATACTCCCCTGAAAATATTTTAAAATCAGGTATCTCCTTGGTGCATTTTTAAACATTTTTCAACTAGTTCATTTGCTGTCACTTCCTTCTTTTTTTTTTAAATCAGATTTTACATTGCTCTTAAAGTTAAAAATAGGTAAGATACTGCTAAATATCACAATAGTTTCAGCATAGAATTCATTGTAAAAAATATGTTGCTATGAACCTATTTATAAATAATATTCACAGGGTATGAATAAAGGCACTCTATTGAAATTTATTAATAAAGTAGCTGTATTATGTCATTACATGTGTGCATATTTAGAAATACACAATAATAAAATTTTCATTAATGAATATTTCAAAACTAACACCTTTTTTTTTTACCAAAAATACATGTAGCTAGTACATTGAGAGGAACATAGTTATATATCAGCAGTAGGCCTATATTATTAGTTATGTAGAGTCATAGATGTGCATTTCTTAATTTCTGGAGATCTTTCCCCCATCTCCTGCATTTCTTACAATATATCCTGAAATTATATTTTCTAAATTACGTTTGTCAAGTTGTTTCTTGTAAATCCTTAAAAGCATCAAATGATTTAATCTTTCCTGGGACGTGGTTGCTGTTAGATATGTCCACACTCTCTTCAGCTCAGAAAATTGTCTCTCACTGGTGGCAAGCAGCAGCAAAATTAACTCTACCAAAGTCACAAACTCTGAAACAAACTTTCCTTGTGCCATTGGTGGTTGGCAGAGGTGATATTTTAAGTTAGGGGTGCACTGAAATCTGAAGTTGCCCTGGTAGGCAAACCCCCCCCCCCCAGACACTGATGATGTTTAATTTTTTTAGAAGTCCAGAAATAGTAAAGATTAATCATAAACATAATCAACATATGTTAGGCAAGTACTTAATGTTGAATCACTTTGCATATAAAATCCGTTGTATTTTGCACAATGTTACACTTCTTTGAAACATCATGTATAGATGAATTTAAACTGTATGCTAGACAGTTTACATACAAAGCACTACTCTCTTCTTGGTTAAAAATTGCCTGGACGCCATTCCTCACACCGCTAATATTGCTGGCTCAATCATAAGACTGGCCCCTACAGTGAGTGAACATCTAATAAAAACATCTTCAGTTTGATGATGGAGTGTTACAGCTTTGGTATCTCAATTAGACCAAATGTATCTTCATGAATCTGGTACTTTCTCTCAACCAATTGAATTGACAGTAACAGCTGTTCAATATGTGAAATGTCTGTAACTTCATCAACAATTACTGAGAATCACATAGCATTCTTAATTTCAGCTAAGATCTGTAAGTACAGTTAGGACCATTATTTGGATAATTTTATTAATGGTATCTGGAGAAATGTAATCTTTTTGATGCAGCCAGGTTTTCATTCCAGGACATTCCTGTGCATGCAGTGGTAATAACTGATATAAATTACCTTCAAAGGTCTCAGCACTTTCAGCATGCCTCTCAATGGTAGAAATTATTATTCCAAAAATCTAATGCATGTTATTAGTTTCATCAGCATACTTTTATGAAAGTTTTGTTCTGTAGCAAATTGACTATTTAACTTAGCACTAACATATACATGAGAGGTCTTCGTTACAAGTTTTTCTGTAGCTTCCTGATGAATGTCACTTTTCTCATGCACCTCAAATCTTTGAAGGGCTTTTCTCCAGTTTCTAAGTCCATTGTTGATAATCTGTTACTTAGTAGACACTGAAGATGGTAATAAACCTTTTTGTTTAGCACTACAACATGGTCTACCAAAATTTTATAGTGAGATAAACAAACGGTGATCTTAGAATGCTTTTTAAACCATGACTTTTGTATTTTTCTGGAATAAGACTTTACCTGGGTTGGTTGCTTTTTTTAGGATGAAGTGAATGAATTGTTTTATATCCAGGAACTTCCAAAGGTTGATTAGGTCTACTTAAATTACTACAGCCCTCATTTACAAGATGTTTCAACATGCACAGCTATTACAGTATCACTGTCTACATTAGACATACCTTGTGTTTCTTCTTCAACATCAGTGTTGGCTGTGCTACTATAAGTGCTACTTGAATAATGTAGATTTACCTTGATAACTTCTTCATCACTCGAGTCAACAATTTCAGAAACACTAGCCTTACTAAAAGGCTTTGCAACAAAATCGCAAATTTTCGTTTGTGTTCCAGTAAACATTGCCATTTTCTCCATGACACATTAAATTTAAATTAAATAAAGTGATCTCCTCATATCAAAAGCACTAGCTGGTAAGTTTAGTCTAGAAATTAGACTATGTTTAAAGTGTAAAGCACCCATCATACTACTTGCATTACTGAGTTTCAAAGCTTTATTATTGCTGCGTTTTTTTAGATTTACAGCCTTCAAAAATTTTTAGGGGTGTGCCACCACCCTTTGCCCCACTGTTTCCTATGACTTTAGTGGTAAGTGTGCTGTTGACAGGGAACTGAGGATTTGTTTACATGTTGAGATCTCACAAGTTACATCTTTGATATTGATATCAACTGAGCATTTTCTTTTCTCTGCTTGCTTTAATTGAGGAATCCATGTTGGTGTATTTGCTGCTTAGAGGACTATATTCATCTGAAAGTGTAACTAGACCTTCTTCCTGGCTGATCATGCTATTAGATTCAGTTCCATAGAATATATCGGCCTCCTGGAGTTCCATATTGCAATGTTGATTTGTTGCTGCTTTGATTAGCAGATTTTCCAGGTTCATATACTGTTGTTTACTTAGTATTTGCAGGAATTATCTTTCATGGTTTTACATTAAAAATTGTTTCACAGGTTTTAACTTTCACAGAAAAACAAAATTGAAAATGCATCAATTTTCCATCACATAAATTTAGAAAAACGTTTTTAGACATCATTCTGTTTTTTCTAAGCAATATTTTTCAAACTATAAGCCTTTGCAATCACACTGTGCAACTGAACTGATGTGTTAGTAATCCACCTATTGAAAGCAATGAATTTGTCTGGGCATGTTGCAGGATTCATTACAGGTACTTAACTGACAACAGCTTATGTTTCCTGATTACATGTTATTATCTAAATATAGCATATTGAGAACAGTTAATCAAATGGTTTGGTGAGTATAAAATTATTTTAAATTTTTTAGCAATATCAAACATCAAATAGTCACAACTTCATTATGTACCATTCTCAAAATGTCTTTGTGGAAATGGATAAAATCGACCAATTCTCCCAAAACCAGCCAATCCAGAGAAGAGGATCATGTGCCTAACAAAGAAACCAAGTGGCCTACCTCTATTCCTTGGAGAAAAGTATGATGTATTGATGTGACATTGGATAATAAATGTCTGGCTCAACGGTGGACTGATCAACTTGCTTTTTATTTCACTGGAACTATTGTTCTTAGAAATGTATGTATCACGAAAATAGTAAAAGTTAATTCCACATGAATAATAATTAACTTGTACTGTAATATAACCTAGCTGCTCAAACCTATCCTTCACGAAAGCTATAAGATTGTCACAGACTGCCCAGAATATATGATAGTTGTGAACTTCAACTGTGGATGGATGATGTCCCAATGAATCACCCATTTCAAGCCTTTTTGGTGCTCTTCTTGGCAGTTGTGGTTCACCAATGTTGCTTTCTTTTGGGCTTCTTCCTACAAGACATCAAACTAATTTCTTATCTCCTGCAGTTTTTGCATGGTGAACTTTGCAAGCTACCTTCAGCTGTTGTCTTAATTATTTGTAAATCCTGGCTAAAAATGTCACATAGTCTCAAGAAGTACTCTGTAATGGTAACACCATACAGGAGGTTCAACTTCTGCATGTGAGCCTTAACCCCTTTTAAGTCTTGCTTTCATCACCATGTCTCAAAAACTTTGTATAGAAAGGTTCCACAATCTCAGCAGGGCATTATACTGTTACATGATGCCATGCATGCAGTGAGCTTGTACCGTCCACCTAGTAAGAGAGAGCATTATGATGGCAGATCAATCTTCTTTGATCTTTTCACTGAGGGTTTCTCTCTTTGGGCTGTATTTTACCAGTTTTGTTATTTTGTACGCTGTGTCCATTTCATCTCTCATATGTGAACCTGACATGTTTAAAGTTATCTTGGCATGCCAGATTTAAAGCATGGCCATCCCAAAGTTTATGTATTTGACTTTTTCTTCCACCTTCATCACTTCTTTTACCACACCATTCTTTTTTTCTGACCATCAAGGCAAAACCATCATAGTCTTGGCCTCACAACCCAAATACAGAGATGTCATTACAGATCACATATCTCAACATTTGCAAGCAATTGCATTTGCAACTTGTCCACTGCAGCATAATCAGGTAAGTTGATAGTAAATTTTGTGAGGTACTTTCCTGAAGACTTTTGAAGCAAACTTCTTGATTTTACCAGTAACTGAAGACAATGTTGACAAACACTAATTCAACTGTCAAGGTCTTCAAGAACTGGTTCTTTATAGATGCATTGTGGCAGACTTGGCAGATTATGGTATTTATATGAGACACAGTGCAATCAGCATTATTCTATGAAGAACTCTTTTTGCAAACGATAATTCTGCTTTTTCTTAGCAAATTGACGTTATGGTAAACTTATAAGTGGTGGTGATGGTACATAGTTCTCACTGTTAATCCTTTTCTCAACAGCTGTCTGCTGGCACACCATTTGATGGATCCTTGGTCTTCTTACCTGATGACACCTTTATTTTTTGTTGTAATTCTTCCATTTATTTGTTCTGCACTGGATTGTCATTATGTTCTTGAACTGACCTACCATCAACAAAGTGATTAAAATACTTCACTTATAATTTAAAGAATAAACCACTTTCAGTATTAGATGTTCAAGGCCTATAATATTTATAACAATACATTGAAATATAATTCAATAATTGGACTATCCTAAATTACCTGTATAATGGGCATCCCTCTCCCATGTGTGTGTCGGGGGTCTGGAGAGCCTCCTCGAAAATTTTAAAGATCTAATTTCTAAGGAGTGCTTTTCATGTTTTTAGAGACAGTAATTTTGATGATTTGTCTGTGGTCTTGAGAAGTTTTAATGTGAGTAAGATGTCTGTTTGATGATTTGAGTATGTCTATTTATCTTCACTACCATATGGTCAGAGATTAAACAAAATATGTCAAGTAAGATGTCTGTTTGATGATTTGAGTAGGTCAGTTTATCGTCACTACCATATGGTCAGAAATTAAACCAAATAAGTTGAGCAGTGACAGTTTTTGCAAAAAGCAAAATTGTTTAATCAGTCTACTAAGATTATATTGTGTGACATTGAATTCAATTGGGTTTTGCCTCTACTGTTTTTGATTATGGTGAGCAGTATCAATATTGTCAGTGTGTTCCTACACACTGTTTACTAGCATTATGATTTAGTATGTAGGTGTTTTAGTAACTTAATTTGCTGCTTCACCCATGTTATAATACATATGGTAAATTACAAACTATAATAATTTGGAGTGTCTAGTGATTAAATCTGAATTATCATCCATTAAGTATCACTCTTCATTTGGTAAAATTTAATAAATGCTCAACACTTGATTTAATTGTTATGGTTATTTACCTGACTATGCTTGCAAAATGCTTAACTACTTAAGTTACTGTTTTTTTTTTCTTGTCCTTTATTTATTTTTCACTTTGAATTCTTCCATATTATTGATTAGCTATCAGTTAATGACAAAATATACCCATTGCAATACAAATGTATTCAGAAACACATGTACAGTAATACAAGATTGTATGTGCATTACACATGAATCAGTTCCTAAGCTGCACAATTATAATCATCACATTGCACGTCTTTGTTTTTAGAATAATGAAATGCTACTTGCCTACACATTTTAGGAGTGAAGAAAGCTGTTAAATTAGATGTATGCTTCATTTTATAGTGCTTACAAATTAGCTATAGTACTGAATAGCCTGCTGATGCTTACTTCTAAATTCATGGAAAGAGAGTTTCACATTGTGGAAAGAAAAACCAAGAAAATACATAATCACTATCTGGTTAAAAAAACACAAAAAGGTCAAATTTGGGGATGGTTATTTACCTGACCCTGACCTATTCCATTGCAAAGCAATCAGTCAGTTACTTTTAGACAAATATAAGTACTTGTAATGTTTTTGTTTCAAATAGTTATACGATTTTGGATCTATTTATCCATAGTTCTTTTCACCACTGTGTTTATTTATTAAGTTTTTCTTTAATCCAAACAGTTTCATGTTAAAGCTTTTTAAAAGCAGTATAATATACATGTCGTCTAAGTCTTGTTTTTCTTTTATCCACATCATATACTGTACCATGAAGTATAATCAATATGCAAAATGAATTATTTTTCAAACCACAGAAAATTAGATTTATATTTAAAATAAAACCACAATTTTTTTAGTTAAAATAGCTTATAATTCAAACTTCATATATAAGCCTGATAAAATATCACCTGTGAGATTGAAGAAATCTTGATTCAAATTGCATGAGAAAGACTAATTTTAATTTAATTTTTCTGTTCATTGAATTGTTTTGTTCATACTTTGGTAAGTTAGTAAAACATCCTTTCCTAATGGATGACATTTTTTAGTTGCCATGAACATATTTTTCTAATTTTTTTATTTATGTAAATAACTTGCTAACAAAGTAACTTGTCAAGATTTTGCCACATTTTTTAGATAAATATTGATCATTTTACTTGTTATAGGTTTTTAATTATAAAACTGTTGTACTGGTGTGCTGAAATATGATTTCAAACATATAAACTAACTTACACAGCATTCTCTCTTTTTTGTGACAGCTTTTTACTGTAATAATGATATATGTTAGGACAAGGGTGAAATTCTCAAAAAAAAAGAGTAGAGGTACCCAGCTGGGTAAAATGAACCTGTTTTTCAAAAAGAAAACAATCTCTGTGTAAACATGAAAAACCACAAAGCATCTTAAAAAATAGGTTCCAGTACTTAATACCAGCAGAATTTCACCCCTGTATTTGGAAATGTACATAAAGTACATATGCTAAAATACTTGGTGAGAAATTTATAATTCATAAAATTTTGTCCTTACCTGAGAGAAGGCAGAATGGAGCTACTTGGATTGAATTTTTTCTTTCTAGTTTCTCAAATTATCGTTAATTTTTTATACATTATCCACTTTATTATGCATCTTTGGTACAATAAAGATTAGGTAAACAAATCTGCATTTTTGTTCAAATTTTGTCATTAACATACTGTTCCTTTTCCCTTAAATCTTAAATGCCTTGGCCCGGCATGGCCAGGTGGTTAGGGTGCTCGACTCGCAATCTGAGGGTCACGGGTTCAAATCTCCGTCACACCAAACATGCTCGCCCTTTCAGCCGTGGGGGCGTTATAAGTGACGGTCAATCCCACTATTCGTTGGTAAAAGAGTAGCCCAAGAGTTGGCGGTGGGTGGTGATGACTAGCTGCCTTCCCTCTAGTCTTACACTGCTCAATTAGGAATGGCTAGCGCAGATAGCCCTCGTGTAGATTTGCGCAAAATTCATAACAAACAAACTAACTTAAATGACTTTGAAACAAATTTATATTTAGAAACCCAATTCTACTCCTCAAAGTATCACCACTTACTCTTTAAAATAAATAGAAAAAAGTGTTATAGTATTTAAGCTAAAAATACTTCAATCATTTGTTTTTAAATTTAGTAATTTGATTTATAACAGAAGATATTTTAACATATACAGAAAAAAAGAGTAGCAAAATGTAACTGAACAACAGCTAAATTTTCTTAAAATTCGTAACTTGATTTTTATTGGAGTATTTTGATACACAGCAAAAATACAAAGATCTTATTAATGAGTGCTTGAAATGTTGACTAGTGGATTACTGTGATAAAATTAAAATATGTATCAATTCTCTATATAGTGAGATTTTTTTAAATGAGTGCATTTCCTTAAATACTAAAATAACAGTTTAGTACATTATTATAACTTACATTTTTCAAAAAATTTAAAAATGTAATTCGGAGCATAATATTGTTGCATCAGCGGATGTCACGTGACTAGTATCACGCCACGTCCTTCTCGAACATTCACGTACCTTAAATCTCGGGATCCTTCTAGATATAGAGTAGTCTTGTATATATAAGCAGTTGTTGGAGGAGAAAGAAAAGAAACAAGAAGATAAATTACAGCAGTTGTTGGAGGAAAAAGAAAAGAAACAAGAAGAATGAGAAAAGAAACAAGAGAGACAACAGCAGTGGCAAGAAAACCTGCAACAGTGCC